CTTCCAAGCCCCATCCAACCTGTCCTTGAACACTTCCAGGGATGGGGCAGCCACAGCTTCTCTGGGCAAGCTGTGCCAGGGCCTCACCACTCTCACAGGGAAGAATTCTTCCTAATATTTAATCTAACCTACTCTCACTTTGAAACAGAGGAGGTTGCTGGTTGCTGGTGCAGCCACCTCATATGACATCTCAGAGCATACACCTCTCTTTGGGGCTGCAACTCACCCTGGCCTTCAGACCTTCAGTCCATACCTGGATTAGGGGCCTTCCCCTCCTGGCCCCCATAGCACAGCAGCCAGTTTCTCAGCATGGAGAAGGCCTGCACGTTGAGCCACTGGTCCTGTGTGTAGTGCTGGCCCACTGAGAGCACTGTGAAGAAGTCTGTGGCAACGGCACCATCCACCTCTGTGACAGGAGCAGGCTGAGAGAAAAGATGCAGCAGGTCAGACCCTGAGGGAAAGGCTGAATGGGAATGCAGGGAAAACCCGACTGAGCCCATGGAGATAATTAGCCCTCATTTATAGTCCTGCAAGAGGGCAGGCATCAGACAGAGAAAAGCCAACTGTGTTGGATCCTCCAAACTTTACTGTTCTCTCTGACACTGGCCTCATTTGCAATCACCTTTTACTCTGAGGTACGTGGGCACTAAGACTCTTCCCTTAAAACCGCTTCAAGGATTTAGGTTGGATATTAGGAAAATAATTGTTTACAGAGAGTGAATCAACCATTGGAATGGGCTGCCCAGGGAGAGGATGGATTCACCATCCCTGGAGGTGTTTAAGATGAGACTGGATGTGGCACTCAGTGCCATGGTCTGGTAACCATGGCAGTGTTGGATCAACGGTTGGAATTGATGATCTCAGAGGTCTTTTCCAACCCAGCTGATTCTACGATTCTATGATTAAAGTTCTGGCTCTGAAGCAGAACTTTTAGATCTCGGAGCTATAAATCCCCCTACTTTGCTTTCCTACCCCTGTGAGGTGACCATGGCAACTCAGCACTCACCTGTTTGGTTCTGGGACTGGAGAAGAAACCTCCCGAGGGCTGAGCGACTCCCTGCTGAGTACTGGCATACCTCAGCCAGCCAGCCAGCTTTCTACTGACAGCATCTGTCTGCTCTGTGCAAGGAAAGTCACAGGGTCATTGCCAGACTGGGCAGAGGAGCAGCCTCTGCACCCCTGTTAACTCTATTTTTCTCCAGCCTAGATCCCTGTCTCTCTGATCCAGCAGTCTGTAAAGGAACTGGCATGCCAGGGCTGGATGCCCTGTACTCCTCATCCTGCCTCAGAGTCAGGGAGTGAGTTCACTTTCCTTGTGGCCCAGACATCACTTTTGACAGCAGTTTCTAACCAAAGCCTTCTGATCACTACACAGATCACAGCCAGGTGGCAATCTCAGCCCTTCCTACATATTTACCTTCAGTTAGAGATTCTGGTGAGAGACTGATGACATTTGCCAGGACAGGGAGGAGGAACAGAGCACTCTGACCCTTGGGCAATCTTCCTTCAAGGACTTTCACAACCCGCTGCCCCACAGCAGCCACTTCACCCTTCTTATTTCCCTTAAAAATAAAGCAGAGGTAAAGCTGGGCAGACAATCTCCCAGAGCTACAGCCCAACACCATGTAATCTCTTCCATCAGGCATCAGCACAAAAGTCAAACCAAAAAGGACTCACAGCACTAGCTAGGAGACATTTCTAAACATACAGTGAAACTCAGAACGAGAAGTTTCAAGAAAAATATTTTATCTTTAACAGGCACAATAGTAGTAAAAGGAGTAGGGGAAAACCAAGAAGTTTCCAGCTTATTCCCCAGGCAGCACTGAGAACAGGAAAATCCTCATGTTTTCTTCTCCTTGGAGAATCTGGATCTTTGCAGTGTCATTCACATTTACAGCCCTACATGTTTTATAGGTTCTGTGTGTATTTTTTTATATTTGGACATGAAAGCCAGTGTCATAAAAAGGAGTAGTAAATTCACTCTAAAATCTTTTGCTCCCCAGGTTCAAGCAGCCCTGATCTGAAATCTACTTCAGCAGCCAGCACTAAAGGGTTCCTTTTTGCTTCCAGGGCATCAGTTTCTTAATATTACAATTTTAAGCAGTTTTTCTTATCAAATGCTAAACACAAAAAAAGCTGCTATTTTTCCCTATGCAAAGCAGAATAACGAGGTTCCTTAAATGAACATGGTAATGCTTCTGCTTTTTCCTATATACTCTCAATTGATTTTTACTCTCCTTGAGCTCAGGGAGGAGCCCGGTGACAGGGAACAATCAAAAAGCAAATCCATATTGACAAGGGAAGATTTGTGACTTAACAGGTCATTTACCTGAGCCAGAAGGACAGAGGATACCAGGCTCAAGAGCTTTGTATCCTGAATCTCATCACAGCAGAGGATCAGATCATGGCAAGGTGACATCTCTCTCAGGATGGCAGCACATAACACCTGAACCTGCTCAGGGCTTTTGGGCGAGCACAGCACTGTCTGCAACAGCTCCACGAACCTGCCATCCAGCCTGCAAGAGCCACAGCAAAGCATCACTGCCAGGCAAGAAAGGATTCAGATGATTATTTCCTGCATATTTTTGGCTTGGGGGATGATCCCCCTTGACAGTGACTGATGCCATCTTATCACCTGCACTTCTGAATGCTGCTCCTCTTGACAGAGAGCTCAGTGACACCAACACTTGTTACTCCCCTTGCAGAAGCAGGCAGGCAGCTTGTGCTCAGCAAAGGGTGGGGGGGGGGAAAGGCAAAGAGGGGCTTAATGTTGATTTGCTGGGGTTAAGAAAGCAGCCGCTCGCTCACCTGCGGGGGTACTTGGTGGCGGCCACGGTGAGGTGCAGCCTCCGCAGCCCCTCCGCGGCCTCGGCGCCCGGCTCGGGGCCCTGCAGGAGGGCGGACACGCGGCCGGCGAACCTCCGCAGCTCCTCCTCATGGATCTCCCTGCCGGGGGAGAGGGAGGGCGGCGGCTCTCAGGACCGCTGGACCCGCAATTCCTGCAACTCCCCCACCCATCCCCCGGGCCTGGCTGCTCCCTCAGCGCCGCGCCCGCCAGGACCCCGCCCGGCCCCGAGGGGTCTCTCCGGCGGTCCCCCGGCCCCCAGGGGATCCCCAGCGCACCTCGCCTGCCTGAGGAAACTCTCGGCCGCCGCCGAGAACATCCCGCACCCCGCACCCGGCCCCGCGCCCCGGTGCGCCCACAAAGCGGCCCCCCATGGCCGGCCGGTCCGCCGGGGCCGCCTCCGGGGGAAAGCGGCGGCTGCTGCACGAAGGTTCCGCCTGCACAGCGGAGGGGTAATGCCAAAATTCTCTCCACCGGAGATCACGGACTATTTCCAGGGGCTGCTGCTGTTACTGTCCACCTCAGGAGTCAGCGGAGAAGTTCGCTTCCGAGGCCATGGCGCGTGGCGTGAAGGGAGCAGCTCTGGGGGCTGAGACCTGTGGAAAACATCATCCCATGGCAGAGATGCCAGAGCTGGGTTTTCTAAGGAACTGATGGTAAACAGTATCATAGCAGCCTTTCTTGCAGCCTGTTCACAAAACGGTGTTTCCCAAAACTGGCAGGAGATGTTAAAAACAGCTGCTCAGCAGGCGGGTCTCCAGCACTTCCAAAAGGTTAAAAATCCATTAGTATTTCCCCATCGGTCTCGTCTCTCCTGACGGCTAACGAGGCAGAAGCTCTCACCACCATGCTGAGCATCCCCTGCGAGGAGGAAAAGGTGTCAGGGAGGAAAGGTTGGCACTCTGCCCTTGGGTATTTCCCTGCCCTGCACCCTCCAGGCATTAGCGTTTATTAACAGCGTTCCTGGGCAATTAGCCAGCAGAGCAGCAGCTCCCCTTTGCCCTGGGAAGATCAGCAGCATCTATCACCCTAGCTGGAACAGAGCTGGAGGGGAGCAAGGAGGAGCATTTGGTTTTTTCTATGCACCCTTTCTCCTGACTGGGTCAGAAAATACACCTACTGCACATGGGGAACCAAAGACAGGACAATCTTAAAAGATGTTCCCCAAAAACGGCTCTGCTGAACATCTTAGCTCGCTGTGTACCATGTTATTATTTTTTATTTGGTTAGTCAATTAAAAAAAAACAAACCCCTTCCAGAGCCTGAAGGGAGACTACAAGAAAGATGGAGAGAAATTTTTTACAAGGGACATGACAATGGGGGGACAGCTTCAAACTGACAGAGGGCAGGGTTAGATGGGATATTGGGAAGAAATTTTTCCCTGTGAGGGTGGGGAGGCCCTGGCACAGGATGCCCAGAGAAGCTGTGGCTGTTTCATCTCTGGAAGTGTTCAAGGCCAGGCTGGACTGAGCTCTGAGCAACCAGGTCTAGTGGAAGGTGTCCCTGCCCATGGCAGGGGGTGGAACTGGATAATTTTTAAGGTCCCTTCCAACCCAAATCATACCGGGATTCTATGAATTACAGCTACTTTATGTCACCTGAGGTCTTAAAAGATACTCCTATTTAATTTTGGAGCTCAGAATGTTTAGTCAAAACAAACCCAGAACTTAAATTGTAGCTGCATTAGGAGGACAAGGGAGGAAAAGCCCAACTATAAGGTAGATGTTTTCTGACCTCATATGCTTACATGAAACCATTATTATGAGTTACAGGGGAATACACTGAAATAGCTTATCTTTCAGAATAACAATGTCTCAGTTCATGACAAAAGCTGGAGCTGGAGGAATAGTTTATAACCCCCAGGGGAAGCATTACAGATCTCAAACACACGTACATTATGTTCACTCAGCTGCGAGTCAACAGCTGCCCAAATAACTGCCAAGGGATCAAAAGTCTGTGAACTCTGGAGCAGTGCAAGGTGTGCAGATAAATACTTACTTCCTACATAAAATAAAAGGAAAAAATACCAAACACACTGTCCCCTTACACCGTGAGAACAACCCAAACTGCTGCAGGAAACTCACCCCCCCACTATGATACCACACTGGAAAGGTTCAAGTCTGTCACCCCAAAGCAGCAAAACAATTTCAGGGCATTTTCTCTTTCATATATAATTTTATTTCTGGTTATAGAAACAAATGCTAAGAGGAGAAGCAACATTCCCCAACCACATACATCAAATTAAGGTAACAGAACAGTTAAAATAAATGAAAAAAAAAAAAAAAGTAGAAATTTAAACTTTGTTATAGCTTTAAAATATTAACGTTCTCGATACATTAGAAATCACATTCAGATCTCAAATTACTTAAAAAAATGTATGGCTCCATATTAAAAAAAAACAAACAAACAAGCAAACAAAACCACTGTATCCCATTTGATGTGGAAATGCAGGTCCTGCTCCTTGGATGCAGGATCCCACCCTCGTGGGAGCCACGGTCTGCCTGTGCAGTTGAGCATCTCACAGGAGCACTGCTGCAACATGGCCAGGGAAAGAAGGTGAACTTCACATCCATTGCCCCAGATGAAGCTTCCCCCTTGGGATACACACCTGCTTTGTAAAAAGCACTGATAACGAAAACAAGTCACAAAAAATACTTTTGATATCAGCTGTATTAAAAAAACAAACACCCACAAACCCCAGAACATCTGGCTGGAGGTGTCTTGCACAGGTAACACCAGGAACTGAAATGCAAGCATGGCTTTAGTTGCCCCTTCCATCACCATCTTTAAAATAAGTGCCAAACCGAGGGGAAAGGGGTAAGGCTGGCCCAGGTCTCTGTAGCAAACCCTTCTGTCAAGCCATTGAGGTATTTCAGGTTCTCCTCTCAGCCTTCCCTTGGGGACTCGGTGGGAATGTGCATCTGCAGAACACGGGGAGAGTCAGATTTCTCTGGATTTTTTTTTTAGAGCAATTATTCAGAGTTGGATCTGAATTTCCAGCTTTACCACCCATTGCTCACATACAGCTTTTGATTTATCCCTAAACAGCTTTTAACAGTCCTTTGGATAACAGTCCTTTGGATAGCTACAGAGTCTTAAAATGCTCTTTTTGGCTATGTGGAGGTCGGCTGGCAGGCTGGACAAGGCATGTCCAGAACCCAAGACAAGATATGGGTCTTGTAAGATTTTTGTATTTTAAAGCCATTTTCTGTATCAGTACATTTGAATGAGACTTTTTTTTACCATTCTGTCTTCTATTAAAGCAAAAAGATCTTAAAAACAATATTCTGGTTCCCTCTACTTCAAGCCCATTTGAGGGAGAAAAAAACCAGGAGAGATTAAGCAAGTTTAGGTTTACAGTAATTCAACTGCTACAGAGCCAACCTGCCTATTTAGCAGCCTGCCCACCTCCCAAGAGCAGCATATAAATCAGCAGAACATCAGGATGTTCTGCACCAGACTTTTAGCAGCAAGACAGTGAAACAGAAGGAAATCTCGCTTTTTCTGCTCCATTTAAATCTCATTTTTCTTCAGCTAACAGACATTTCTCCTCACTGTTGCCCTCAGCTTTAAGGAAGGCTTTGTCTCAGACTGCTGGAAGTGAAACTGAGGTGGGGGAGAAGCTGGACAGAGAGGGGGAGATGACAGCGAAGGGGCATCGCTTAACTCGGAGCAGACACGAGGAATAATCAAATATCAGGGGAAATCTGGTTCTCACAAGGGCTGTTTTCTGCTGAGAAGGAAAGCTGCTTCCTTTCACTGCTCCCATTTCCTGTTACTCTTCCTACCACCAACCCTTAAGTACGGAAGCCCCATCACCAGCCAGTGATCACCGAGGTGAAGCCTTAACTCAGGTCCTCACAGAGAAAGGAATTTCTGCAACAGCAATTAGGAATTAGGAAGCCAACTGTCACCTGCTTTTAAGAATAATCACCAAAAGATCCCAGTGGGTCAAAATACACACTTCTGTGAATTTAGTGATCCTCGTGGAATGAAGTTTGGCCAGTTTGGTAAAATGTACTCCCTGTGAACGGGAACATTAGAAAAACCCTTCTGTGTTTGTTTTTAAGGGGATATACACACACCTCTCCCCACAAAGAGACAGAATCACGATAAAAGGAAAATAATCTCACCACAGAGGAAAAGAAACTATTTCATAGTGCCCCAGTGTTAGCTCAGCCACCTGGCAGGGAGGAATTCCTCAGCCTTACAGCATCCTCGTGGACCCATCATAAACCTCCTCTGTTAGAAATAAGGTCCCATTACTTACAGAGCAGAATCTGTAAAGAACTCCCCAACACCACAACTACAGATAACTGAAGACAAGAAAAGGATTCTAGCTTTCATTAGTGCCATTTTGGGGGATTTTCTTGCCAGAAAAGCAGCGTGGACTGAGGTGGCTGAAAGCACAACAAAGCCAGAAGCAGGGCTCCTACACAAGGAAGATGCAAGTACCAAGCTGTCTCTTCTGCTCTGCAAGAGGAATGAAAGCAATCACTGAAGTAAAGCTGCTTCCACTGGCTGCTCACATTCATTACAAAAACAGGTACATCATTCTTCAGGAGTCAGTGCCTGGTGCAGGAATTTACCAACATACTGTATAAAAGTCTCTGAAAGTACCATTTAAGAGAAAGAAATAGTCATGGACCATTTATATATCTATATTGACACACACGCTCACACACACACACACATTAATAAATATAAATTTTATGTTTACACAGATCTAATTTAATATTCTCTGAAAAAAATATTTAAAGGGTTTCTTCCTTAGCTGCCACCCATGAATTGTCAATGGTTTCTTTTTTTTTTCTATCTTGAGAGCAAAGGGGGTAGATTTGGCACAACTACCCTCAGGCTCTGAAACTTGTGACACGTAAGGAGAGGACCAGCCATACATTCTGAAAGGTTTTAATTCAGTGTTGGTAAATTGAAAAGGTATCAGAAGAATTTTCTGAACATATAAATACAAAAGGTCAAAAGTTGATAAAAAGTCTGGAATTTAAATATAGTGCTCCAAGAAAACCAAGTATTTTTCCAAATGTCTCGCTCGGGCCAAAGTAAAATGCTCCCTGGGGTGTTACTGCCCCACGAAAGACACCCTAACAGGGTAAGCCCACCCTCACAGCCAGCTAATTCCCACTACAGACTACTGTATGTGGATGTATCCCCACCTGTGTGCACAAACACGTGCACTGCCCTGCAAGTAACACACCCAGCAGAGAGAGATGCTGATCCCACTAATCACAGCCAAACAGCTGCCAGGCAGCCACACACAGAGATGCTCCAGCTCTGTTTTGGTCAGGTGCAGATCAAGATGCAAGGTGGCATCACTTCCCAACCCCATCAGTTCCAGCAATCCAGATGACCTTGTAGTGTAACTGTTTTCTGCAGCACAGCTGGCTCTGGTGGAAGCTACACTTTCCAGCAGTAGTGTATGCTATAGTAGTAGCAGCTTTGGCGTAATTTTTCACCCAGAAGGAAACAAAAAGTTACATGACTGAACAATCTGTTGTATAACTGCAGCCTAACACACAGATCCTCGCCAGATGCAGACCTCCAAGCAATGGAATTAAATTAGGAGTTGGATTAAAGGACTCTGGAGCTGACAGAAAGAACTACAAATAGAGGGGGAAAAACTGATGAGGAGCAGAAACAGGAGCTGCCCAAGAGACTGGTTGGCAAGAGAAGACAGATCATTTGCTGCAGGATGGCATTTACAAACTCAGAAACTCTGTGCAGCAAGGGCAAAATGATGAAGCGAGTCCTGTTCCACTAGAGGTTCATTTTTAATGCCCAAGTCCAAATTATTAGCAGCAAGACTTAAAAAAACCTCAAAGATTTTGCATCAGGGTAGAAACTCAAGGTAAGTTCCACACTGGATTTAAACTATCATTTGATAAGGTAAAGCACAGGTATTTGAAGGTGATCAGGATCCTTCAGTGCTGCCTCCTGCTCAAAAAACTCCAAGACTCAAGCTGGCACTGTTCTTTGGAAGAGAGGGACAAGATGCTTGCATAAGTACAAATGAAATCCAGAGCATTTGAAGTTCATTTTGTGACTCGTTTCTCACACTGACACTTGTCTTGCAGCAAGAGTCCAAACAGGTATTGGGCTGTACAGGCCAAAGTGTAGCTATCAGGCCAAGGAAAGGGATTCCTTTTCCAATCCATCCAGCATTTTCCAGATCATGTCTGCAGAACTGTGCCTGCTTTTGGCCTCCCCAGTACAAGACTCACAGTCACCTGCAGCAATTCCACCTGATGCCCTGGAGCCTGAGCACGTGATGTAAGAGAAGAGACCAGGAAAACCAGGTTGGTTCAATCTCAAGAAAAGGAAGCAAATGGGGAAAATCTTACTGGAATCTTCAACTACCTATTTGGAAGATGCAGAGGAGGCAGAGCTAGGCTCTTCTGAGAGGCAACAAACACATGCAGCTGTGGGAAATTCTTCTTAAATTGGTGAGAAGGGTGGTGAGAGTGGATTCTCTGTGGAAACAGAACTATTGCTAGGTTAAATCCTCGTCATTCAAGATCCCCAAATCCAGGTATGGCAGGGAAACATTTCTCCTTTCACCCCTATATTTTGACATTCATTTACATGCTTGCACACCATCAGGGTGACACCAAATATCTCCCTGGGAACACTCCCTGCTAACACAGATGAAAAGCTCTAATACCAATTTAACGTTGCCAGCAGGCAGGGAAAAGTGTTCCACACCACACTGCACGAAAGCTCAGGTCAGATGCTCTCACTTGCTTTGATACAGGTCCCTACCTTTCTGTGCTCCAAGTCTGATTGCACTGCTGGTATTTCCCTACTGAAAATTTGAAAAAAAAAAAAAAGTGGAAATTAACTCTGAAAGACAGCTCTCTAAAACATGCAAACCCAAGTTTAGTCCCTCCAAAACCTGAAGGCAGACCATGACATTGATTGCAGAAGAACTGTAAAGGCTTCTGCTGTTATTGAACTATTTCTTTCCTCTTACAAAGCTTTAATGTATCTCTGAAAACACACCCCTGAATAAGCTATGCCCAACAGTAACATGTCTAAAACACAGAATGAAAATTAATACAGGGTGACCAAACTGACCTTTCTCAAGCTGCTCTGGAGCAACATGTATTCCACAGGTATTTTCATCCTCGAGTCCTTGGGCAGAGCTTAATGCAAGGTGCTGCTCAGGTCAGTGGATGAAAATGACAGGATATGCTACAGGGGACAGCGTAAATGGTGTGGGGGAGGGAAGAATATGGGAAGGAAAAAAGAGTTGAAAGGAATATATGAGCTAATCATGAACTTCAATTTTGTGCTCAGCACTGTGTTGTGTTATCACTAAATCAGATTAAATTGATCTTACTGCAAAAAGCCTTCTGTATCACAAGAGCCAAGGTCAAGATGAACAACAACTAAGGAATTCCAGTGGAATAAAACCAAGAACAACTGCATTCAGCTCTTGTAAAGCCTCCTCCTTCTCGTCCCCTCAAACCTTCCTCAGTTAATATAATTAATTGAGGATAAGATGCAACTTTTTAGACAAAACCCAAGCTGGATGATCAATTCAAAATAATCTGAGTACTGCATAGAACCATTAAGGTAAACATTTTCTCTCTAGCTGAAGACTTAATTCCACCATCACATTAATTTTCATTCCTCTGCAGCCCAGGGAATCAGGATTGCTATGTAAAAAGAATGGTGCTGTCTTCCAGACTGAGCAGTGTGATGAAAGAATTAATCTGGAGGCTTGAAACAAGAGGCCTCCATCTCGCATGTTCCAGATGAGAACCACATTTTTCCACTGCTCTCAAAAGGATTTAGCAGGAACAGTTACTTTATCCAGTATCAGGCAATGTTTAGGCAAACCTACAAAACTATCTGCAAGTGGTATGGCTGTTTCTTACAGTACCAGGGGGATGCAGCAGAGTGATAAAGCAAAAAACTCCCTGACAGGATGAACTGACAAGTTCCAGACACGTCAAGCAGAGAGGGGGAACAGAACAAAGATATTTGCTTATCCTCAACTCCCACTTGAACCAGCAGGCAGCGTGAGCCACAAAAGGAAGAAAGTGTTATTCTGTTCTAAATACTTAGTAGGCAAATCTACACATGCAACCCGAGGATGGACTTTCAAGAGGTATCTATAAAGCAGCAGCTGGTGGATGAAAACACTGAATTCAGCTGATGTATTTCTACAGTGCTGGACTAGTTTACAGAAGTTCAGGGCCTAATTATTTAGACTCTCCCAGAGAAAAGCAGCAGCAAAGAAAAATCTGCAAACTTTGGCAGTTGAACAACACATCCTGAACAGTATTCTGATGGTTTTTCATCTTGCTCTGACTCACACAACATTCTGGAAACCCAAGGACTCCTGTGCTTCTGGAAAGCTCCCGAGTCCCAGGGTTGTTTCAGAGGCGTGCCTGCATCTAAACCAGCAGTCACCCAAAAGTAATGATTAATCACAGATAAACTGTGCTGCACTCTCACTTGTGCATTCTTCCTTGAAGTTCATTTTATTGAGTTCTGGCTTTGGAAAGGCTACAGAAAACAGAGCTAATCCATGTGCTTTTCCGCTACGCCACACCTAGAGAGAAGGGGCAGCTGGAGGCCAGCCTGCTTCAATTACCTTGTGGTCTGTAACAATCCTCCTTCACAAAACCATTTTAAAGTACTAAAATCCAATCTAACAACTTGTCACTTAAGGCACACACCTAAATTCTGAAAGCCAGGCTGAGATAAATGATCTGTCCTGAATATTTAACGTGCCTTTATCCGCAGAAAGTAACCGCAAATCACGAGACTGAGAAATTCTTTCCTTCTTTTAGAAATATTTCTCACAAAACAAGGGACTTGAGAATAAAACATGTCGGGGTTTTATTCAAGCAGTGGGACTTGGCTGTTGAATAGGATTTGGCAAAGACAAAGGAAACCTAGAAGGGAAGAAGTGATGCCAGCTGTTACCTTGTGGATTTCCTCCCCCTCCCCAGATTCCAGCAGACACTGGGGAGTTGTGCCTTACCCCCTAATCCCCACGGAACATGCTGCCAGTTATCATTTACTGCACACTGGGAAAAGCTTTTTGCAGAGTTCCTGCAGCGGGTTTGCTCTCTCTGCTCTGTGATAGCACTGTCAGACTGCATAGGATAGCAACTGGACAACAAATCAGTACAGATGGGGGATAACCTACGAGAGGTACAGCCCATCCCTCTTAAGTCTCTTTGGCCATAACCAAAGCCATAACATTTGCTAAATTAAAAGATCTCTGCTGTGCTGCCAGAAGACATGTTAGCCAAGGGGACTGCAAATGGGTATAAAACCAAAGGGGTTTGCTGGAGGCTACAGGCAGGGGTTGACTTCTTTGCCAGTCACAAGGTATCACATGCACCCACTATTTCTCGTGGCTGCAGTGAGTCAAATCTGCTTTCCTGATAAGACATCCTTGTACTACATGAGGAGCCTGGAATACAGTTTGAGTAAAAGCCTCCTCCTGCTGGTGAAGGCTCTCAAGGCAGAAGAGACGGGAAAGCGAGCCAAGCAACGCAAGGAAACCTCCAAATTCCTTTAGAAAAATTGTTTAAGAGCTCCAGATGGCTTTTGCCACATGGAAGATAAAAGGAAAGTCTTTTGCCTTGGTCTCTACACCCTTACAGAATTTGTGTGAAACACTGTATGGCTTCTGCTGCCTCTCATCCCAGCCCTCAGCTTTCCTCTCTGAAGAGTAACACAGGAGCTTTGGTGTTTGCCATGGCAGAGGGGCAGCACAGCCTCCTGCCCAGCCCTGGCCTCCTGCCCATGGAGCTGAGGAGCACACCCCCAACGGGAGCTTTTAGTGCAGAGGATCAACCAACATTTTCTCAAGTTCACAGAGACAGTGGCCATGCCTTCACCTACACTGCTATTGTGAACCAAAGCTCCAGCACAAGATGGGATCAATCAAATGCACACAGAACCTGTGGAGACACCCTTCCCCACGTGATCCTCAGGCATCAAGATACTTTGGCTGTTGTCCAAAGCAAGTGAGGAATAATTGTAAGAAATCAGTGAAGGTACAAACCCCTTTGTGTTTTTAGTATCTTTACAGGAACCAAGTTAATACAGTTCCTCTGTCATCTTATTCTCTCAGAGGGAATGGAGAGAAATTGCATCTGGAAATCCAGGTGGCTGAGCCCTGTAACTCTTCCTCCTGAACCCTCACATAAATAAGCATTCATATTCAGAATTTTTCTGTTTTAAAAAAAACAGAATCATTTGCCTTTTTCTTTAAGCTTGGTACCATGTTTCTTTAATGTTGTTGTGAGATACTGCACCCATCTTTCAGCATTTGATTGCCTTAGGTGACCTTATTGAAATGGTCCTATGGTTCAAAGCTCTCCAGAAGTGTGGTATTAAGGCATAGAACGTGAGGAGTTTTCTTTCCAGGGAGCAGACTGTATTTGTATTACATTCCTTTAGATGCTGAACTGCAAATCCCATCCCCTTGGAGCCAAAAGGGAAAAAGACAGTTAAAAATATCCCAGCAGTCATACAATCAGTTGTCTGTAATTTTTTTTTTTGAATCTTTTAAAAAAAAGAAAAAAAAAAAGGAAAAAATATCCCATAAGTAAAGACAGAACAGAGTTCCAGATATGGGTTCTTGGGAGGGGTTTTCCATTCTTTTTGGCACCTTGTGACTCTAACAGCTGTTGTCCTCCCATTTAAAAATCTGACTTTAAAAGGAGCTGTTTATGTTTTGAGCTGTTACAGTTGTGGTTTGTTTCCTGTGAAAGCTGCTTTAGGATTCCTGCCATCCCATCATGCCCACCCCACATCACTCCAGCTCCTCCCACCGGTTCTTCATTCACTGGTTGCCTGTCCTTGTGGCATTGCAGATGTGATGACTCCAGTCTGGGCTGGGACTGCTCCACTGGGCTCTTCTATCCGGGCTCTTTTCACTTCAGGTTCACTGGCAGAGGCTGCTGCCGTCTCCTCGGTCCCCGTCTCGCAGACCCGGCTGACTACAACAGGAGTGGACGAGCTGGCCTGGGCTGCAAGGAGCTGCAGTGGGTTTGTAAGAGCTGGGAAGGAGGATAAGAAAGAGATTTAGTGTGATGAACTAGCACAAGTGTTTGCTATTCCAGAAAGCAAGAAAACAAAACGCCACGGATCAAGTGCGACAGCTGGCACACGGTCAAGTGTTGTTCAGCCCATTTTGAAAGGCTCCCTCTCCACTCACAACCCCAGCTGTTGTGCAAGTTTAGCAAACCACGAAAAACCCTGTTCATGGAAGAATTTCCTTCTTCCTATTCATTGTCAAACAAGGCATTGCTAGCTAAGCATTCATCTCCAGCAGGAGAGGATCAAGTCCTGGTTAAAAACCAGAGCACACCTCCTCTTTGAGAGGTAGTTCTCTGATCACCCACAATCAGAACTCCTTTGCAAGGTACAACATCTTTGTGCTGGGCCTTCACTTGGGAGGTTTAGGGGCTCCCTTGAGCTCTGCTCACACAGGAGGAACAGAGAGGCTGTTGAGAAACTAGATTAGTATCCAAATGTTGAGTGTACTGACATCTCACTTGTAAAAGGGGTAGGAAAGAGCTTACCCTACACAACCACATGTGTTCCCATCAGATCTGGGATCAGGACAGGAATTTCTGGCTTTCAGTCTTGTATTTCAGTACGAACACAAGATCTCACCCTTCCATTAATAAAAGTGGTGAGAAAAGAGGCAATTTAAGTAGCAACCCTCCGTAAAAATGTCTACAATCCCTAGTTCCAGACAGAGAATGTGCTTACACACTGGCTTTGGCACACAACACCGCTTGGAAAACAAAACACATGCAGTTTTTGGACTCTGCTTCAATCAGAGAGGCAGCCAAAGGGGACTCAGGAGACAGAACATCCTCTGCCCTTCAGACTGATTTGCAAAGGATGGAATCACAGAACATTAGCGCTGTGTTCACTGCTAAATGCATCAAAAAAGGAGCCCTAGGATAAATAAACAAAGCACACAGAACAAAGGCCCTCAAAGCCCAGCAACTTCTACCAAAGCATGGGAAGGAGGCTGTAGAGTATTGAGAGGATGAACGGAAAAAAACCAGGGTAATGATGAGGGCAGTCACCAATTACAGTTCAGTGACTCAGAGAACCTAAACCACGCAGCTGAGGAGAAGTTAACTTCGTACAGATGAGAGTCAAGAAGACTCAGGCTTTGTTTTGTGAATTAGAAAACTCACTGCCACTTACCAAAAGAACTCAGATGCAGCTGGAATACCTCCCAGTTTGACGACAGTTAGAAAAATTTTGGTGAGATTAAAACATCTTAACGTAAAAATGTTAAATAAAAAGCTGTCTGATTCTATATCAGACAAACCCTACTGCTGGGTAGTAGAAGCTGAGACTATCTGATCTATAAATATCTTAATATCCTACTTGCATAAAAACCTTACCATTACCATTTTTTTCATTGCTCCCATAAGATTCTTGCAATTCAAGTGCAAGCCAGGTGATAACTGTGAAGAGACACGGCAGAAAATTCTGTAGAAACATTCCCACCTTCATGAAAGTCATCCAAATCCCACCAGTGCCCTTCCTTTCAAACTCCCCAAAAGCACTAGCCTAGGGCAGCAGAGGTGCTTGGCATCTCATTGAAAAGGGCTGTAAGACACCTGGATATTATCATCCCTAACTGAACAAAACCTGAGGTGCTGAGCAAGCAAGATGAGGAGGTTGCTAAGACGTGGCTCGTATGGAATTTAAAAAAAATCAGGCTTGACAAATTACCAGAACACATCCTGTGTATACAAAAATCCTACAGTCATTCACCTGGTGAAACAGATCTTATTTCTCTCAGGCTCTAAGAGCTTAAGATGGGAAAGTATTTTATTTTCTTAGTACTCTACGGACTCCAGTTTCACAAGATCTAAGGAGCACCATGGAAATTTCATTATTTGGCACGCTGCAAGCAAAGGCTGCTGGTCAGAAGAAAATAAACGAAAACAGGCTCTCCACAAGAATCACTGACACTTTTAACAAGCAACCCTCAAAAGGCAGAGAGTCTAAGTAGTAAGAACTGCATAGCCAAGGGCAAAGGAAGGACACTGGGTTTTCAGTAGCAATGCAGGACTTTTCCACCAGAACAGGGAGAAGAGGTGGACACGAGGATATCTATCAGTGACATTTACAGCCGCAGAAGCTGAAGAACTGGAATACCTCTGAAGAGGACACATGGAACAACTGGATATATACTAATCAAGAAGAGAAAAGGCTTACAGCCTGACTGCCTGCTGAGCCCAGGGAGCAGCCCACCCCCAAAGGCAAGGGAGCAGAGCCTACCGTAGGCGTTGCTGGCGATGCTGTTGGTGGGCACAGCGTGTTTGCCGTTCTGGGTGACCGCCCGCACCGGCAGCTGGTGCTGCCCGATGGCCACTGGAGCTGCCTGCTGGAGGATCGTGACTGTCTGCCCAGGGACACCCTGGGCCATCTGACTGGCCACTGTCTGGATGACACGGCTGGCTGTGGGGATGGCGGCAAACGCAATCGTTGGCTTTTCATCCACGCCTGTTGAGGAGCAGAGGAGGTGACAATCACTCACCAGCCTGGCTTAGGAGCTGGCTGTGTTCTCATTAACACCTTAGCAATGCTACATACCCCAGGCTTACAGGTGTGACAGTACCTCAGCACCACTGAAGGCCAGGGGTGAGTATTTGGAAACACTACAATATTCTCTACTGCACGTTTATCCTATCAATACTAAGAACAATTTTCTTATGGCATAAGCCACTCAGCAAAATAGGAAAACTTTAAAGAAAAAAAATATTCAAGACTATCAACTTGATATTTTGCTCTAAAAGGGCATCACCTCCCTTATTGGCACATCATAGCTGTGATATGGACAGCAGCCTCTGCAAATCTCAGAGCTTACTTTGTAATTTCAAACAAATTGGCCTGACTTTCAATACCACACAGCAGGAGAAGGCATTAAGATCTTAAACAATGCCTGGAGCCAAAAGTCTGCAGCAGCTTGCTGTCAGGCCTGAATGCAGCTTGATTTACAAGGAGGTCTTCCCACAATTGCAAGCTTTTGCTATGGAAGTATAGGAAAAAACCAGGAGGGAGGAAAAATAAAAAAATTAAAAGTAGGGCTGAGTTCCTGGACAAAGGTAACTGCTTGAGAGCACTCAACCAACTTTTCTCACTTCCCAGGATAAGTTAGGGGTCAGTTCAGCAGGTATGTAACAGATAGAGGTAGCATCCTGCTGGGCATGCAGGAAAGCAGAGGAGAACCACTCTTTTCTTCCAGGGGCTCCGTGGGTCTCAAAGCAGGGAGGGCACAAAGCACAACCTCTTAGTCCTGTAGGAAAAAACCTCTCCCATTTTAACATTAGCAGACAACAAGAGCTGAGTTAGATGAGACATAAGCACTGAGCTGAAACCTGCAGGCAAGCTGATGGGAACTGGGGAGAGAAAAGGCAAGAAAAGCAGAGAGATTAGGAAGAAAAATGCAGCACTCAGGGAAAGCAGAGACCAGAAAAGGATACAAGTGGGAATAAGAGCGGGACAAGTAGGGGAAAGAACAAACAACAGCAAGAACTAGTGAATGAAAGAAGGGAGCAGGTGACAGGCAGCTGCAACTGTTGGCACTTCAGGAACATGTATGGGATCCAGACAGGAATTTCTAGAGAATGTAAGTTAAACTCCTGCAAGATAAGCAGTGCTGAAGTAAAAATGCCAGTGGTCCTGGTACTGCAGTAGGGGAAGATCTTTGCCATTTTTTTCCTGCAATGGGAAAGGAACCATTGTCCCAGTGCCCACATAAAAGCAGTCAGAGAAACCAGCCTTGCTCATGGTACAACACACATCTACCTTGTAGTACTAAGACCTTCCCAAACGGGGAGCAGACAAGGTGTTGTCTAGATCACAGCAAGGGAACATTTAACTCACTAAATCCCCCAAGGCTGGAATTTCCAACTTAGGAACAAAAGAGGCCTTTGTTGTAACTGGTTTCTGAAGATTGCTTTAATGGGGCACTGCCTGCACTTCCAGAAGCACGCGCTTTCCTCTAGGAATCTGTGGAAAAGAAGGGCTCGATCATTCATCTACAAGGCCATCCTGAGGCAGAGTTTCAGCCTTTCCCAGGCCATCTCTTTTGGCTGGAAAACACTTCCACAGCACGTCCAGCTGATCAATATACAGGCATATTATCAATACTGGGGATAATTACAAGAGCACGTAGTGACAGGACCAGAGGGAATGGCTTCAAACTGAAAGAGAGTAGGTTTAGATTAGATATATGGAAGAAACTCTTCCCTGTGAGGGTGGGGAGGCCCTGGCACAGGTTGTCCAGAGAAGCTGTGGATGCTCCATCCCTGGAAGTGTCCAAGTCCAGGCTGGATAGAGCTCTGAGCAACCTGGCCTAGTGGGAGGTATCCCTGCTCATGGCAGGGGCTTGGAATAAGATGATCTTTATGGTACCTTCCAAACCAAATAGTTCTATGATTCTACAATAATAAACAAATTTTAAGCAGTGCATGTTTTTTCAGGCTCCAAATTCTGTTAGTGTTGTTCCCCACAGGACACAAGGGAGCACAGCTGTTTTGCTCTCTGGTGGAGACAACAAATGGACGAGCTCCCATTTGGTTTCTGTTACACCTGGAGAAACATCTTTTTCTAAGGGCTAAGTGCCCAGTGAGTGGAACTGTTCAACTCTCCCCCCTCCAAGCCTGCTCAAGACTTATAAGCAGAGTAGCAAGGGAGGTGAAAGGCTACCTCGATGGTCACCAGCTAAGTCCAACACTGCTCCTGCAGCTTCATGAGCTCCTCCTGCTGTGCCCTGGTTTGTGAGGATGTATCCGTTTGCAGAGTTTGCAGAGGAGGTCACGACTCGGACCATGGTAACAGTGGGAGCTTGTTGAACTAGGTGAATTGCATGACAGGAAGGCTGCTGAGAAGTCACTATTGACGCTGGCATGTACGCCACTGGCTTTGCCACCAGGGTAGATGGTCGGGGAGGAACAGCCATAATCACTGGCTGGGCACTCACTGGAGACCCTGAACAGAAGAGAGAAGCACATGTTAACAGGAGAGGCAAAAAGACCTTCCTTCATTTAATCTATGCAGTTCTAGTCTGCAATACTCAACCCTTCAGCATTGGCAGGAATGCAGAAAGAAAAAAAAAAATCAAGGCTTCAAAAAATACCGCCTTCAAATTTCTCTTTTCCTAATGTACAAAAACCTTACTTGTCATCTGAGCACATTTCTGTGAACAAAAACCACAATAAATATAACACATCTTCCCCAAAAGAAGCTTGACTTCATGGGCTTTGCCTTCCAACTTCACCCTACACTCCAGGCCAGTTACTGCACAGCTGACAAACAGGTACTTACCAGGCCCTGGTCACAGCACCAGAGCTCTGTGTAGCCAAGCTGATCTTACCCAGAGGCTGCTGGTAAATTAGTGAGAGTGAGCTGTGCCATGGCTACTCTGCTGTCAGTTCTTTACAGCCACCTTGTTCAAGGTTAGCTGAGGTGTTTCCACACATTCCACCTCCTGCCCCCTCATCCAGAGACTAGTAAGAAAAACGGTCTGAAGTGGCACATGTATCATCAGTCTCTCAATGAAGTGAAGAGAGACACCCCTAGAACCTCCTGTAACACACTGCAGAAGCCTCCCTGCTGTGTCCTCAGCATGGCACATGGTGCAGCTGAACAGTCACCCTGTGTGGAACAAGAGCTACTCACCAGGTGCGCTCTGGGAATACCGGTATTCCGGAACTGAGGCTAACTTTGACCCAAAGTCGTGATCATGTGGAATGGGTGAGCCCTCCCGTGACAGGCACTCTGGAGTCTGTAGGCCACTAGAGTGAGGGGACAGCAGGCCAGGGTGAGTAGGGGAGGCAGGAGCACTCCTGAAACACAAAATGCAGTGTTGGCAAGTGCGGATGCATTTTGGCCACAAGACAGCAGCAGAGACCAAGAGTTTTCCCCAGTACAGGATCCTCTAGCAGAAGGACAGCCTTTCTCCCACACTACCCACTGCAGTCTGCTGGGAAGAGCTGAAAGGTGCACAGCAACCTCACAAATGCTCTAGCACCACATACTGTCATATTATGCCTTGCTGAAGGAAACTCGACCCTTCAGACTACGCTTAACATTTCGGTGTAAGACCCACTGCTGACAGAAGCTCTAAGTGATTCATGTTCAGATCAGTTTTATAACTTCAGATGGTTCTCAAAGCACCTCGGTCAGTGTTTCAGAGTGACAGGGAGAGGAAGAAAGATGCAATGCAGAACCAAGTGTCTGGCCCTGTATATGCTTACAGAGCAGCTGCTCCTCTTCTCCCCATTTGCCACCCTCCCCAACCACTTGGTTCCCCACCTCTGGTACCACACAGCCACCAAACACATGAGGAGTTGCACAATCCTCTAATGACAAACCAAATAGAAAAGCTGAAGAGCTTTCTTCTAAACTCCTCCTGCTTACCCCCTATTTTAGCTGACAGAAAAGAGGAGGTGTGGGAGGAATGTTACATGAAACTGCTCCAGCTAGTGCTGAATTGCAAGTCTCATCCTCACAGCTACAGGGTTCAGAGAAGCTGTCATTGCACAAGGCAGAGGAGCTGACTGGAGCAGCTACACAGAACCCCCTGTGGTTGCTTCACTGCTGACAACCACGACCAACCTGATCTTCACTACAGGAGAGTGTTTTAAATACCACAGAAGTTATTCCCACTATGATCTAATCCACATCTAAACACAGCTTTCCTGAAATCAGAGATTGGCATCTGAAAACACTTACCCCAGCGATAACTGCTTTGAAATGATGCCAAAACAGACATGTTACTTGATGCATTTTTGCAGTTTGGTTCTGCCTTTTTTTTTTTTTTTTTTGTTAAACACTTAAGAAGTCAGAACAATTTTCCGATTATGCCTCAAGACTACATCACCTCTCAAATTATAAACAGAAGTGAACTTTACTCACTGTACTTCAGGAGCAGTTTTAGCTTATTTTCTTTATAATGAGTCTGGCACAGAGATTAGAGGAAACTGAAGTTACCTGGAGGAGAGAGGCCCAAAAGGTGTTCGGAAGCAGGACACTCCTCTTTGCCTTCGTTTTCTAAATGCTTGTTCTACTAGTTTGGCTTCAGAGGCAGGGTCAATTCGCCAAAAGGAGCCCTTTCCAGGCTCCTCTTGGGAGCGTGGGACTTTAATAAAGTAACGGTTCAAGGAGAGGTTGTGCCGAATGGAATTCTGCAGGAAGCAGAGGAACGAGGTGATTATTTTGCCATGAGAAAGTGTGTAACAAAGACAAATGAGTTTCACCACACAGCTTGGAAAAATAAAACTCACACTGCCAGAATCAGTGTTGAAGACAGAAACAAGTCACCCAGCTCGCAACAGCTCTGATATCACCAGAGAAGTGCAAGAGAAAACCTGGGGAAAAGTGTTAGGAGTTCCTGCTAACGAGCCTGAAAGCTGGGTTTGCTTGGTACTAACCATCACTTAAATACATCTGGAGCCAGGCAGTGCAGTGACTTCTCTGTGGAAAGCAAGGAAAGCAGAGCTTTTGCTGAGGCAGGGGGAAATCACTGGAAACCACATCAGAACCCTCTCAGAAGACAGGCTTTATTCTAGGCAAGCGGAAAGAACTGCCTGAGCCTGTGCTAACTGCTCACCTGCCAAACGATTACCAGGGTGCCCAAACGTGCCCTAAAGGACACTGCATCTCACAGCAATCATAATGTAAGCCAGCCAACATGCCCTCAGACAGCTGGCTCTGAGAGGAATCCATTACCTGTGTGGCACTAGGCTAGCACTGTGCAGCTCTCTAGATGCTGACAGGACTATTCATCCTTTCCACTGCAACAGCCCATCTCTTGCTGGGTGCAGCGCTGGCTTTTGGGCTCGGGGAAGGGCTCAGCAAAGCCAGGTGTGCACAAACTCATCCCTCTTCCACTTCCAAAACAAAACAAGAGCTTTTGTAGCAGGTTTAGACAACCTCCTCACAAGTAAAGCCTTCCAATGCCACTGGAGAGGAGGGGAAAAAAGGCAACTTCACCTTCCACTGAGATGCAGCTCTCTCAAGCAGGAGGCAGCAACTGGTTCGCAAAGCACAACTCTGCTGAGCAGGTTAGGGCAGGAAGTGAATTCCACAATTAATTAGAACTGCAGGGAAAAGCCAGGGAGGCAGAAATGTATTTATTCCAACTGTACTCAAAGTGCACCAAGCACTTCTGCTCCTGCCAGCAGACCACAATGAAATCAGCAGCTGCAAGAGCCTTTCCAGCTGCATTGGTGTGTTATATTCGAATGACAACACCCATTTCAGAAGTGTGATGCCAAGAAAAAGTCTGAAAGCAGGTGGAGCTGAGGTTCCTGGAACTTTGAAAGCAGCCCTGAAGTGAACACTGAACCTTGATTTAGCATGTGTTAACTACATTTAAACTCTCCTATGAAGCTGGTCAGGTTTCCTTTAATACCACAAGGAGCACCCAGACTCACAGTTTCCCAAGTTCTCACTCAGATTCAACACTTGCAAACTGTGACTTAGGCAATGCAGTTGATACACTGGGAAAACAAAACATCTGTAATGTTTTAATGTGCTGTGATTAAAAACTGGAACCTCAGTTTTAGGCTGGATATCCTCTGCTTGGACAGATCATGCCAAACAAAGACAAGGTGAAAGATTAAGCAAGTATCTGAGCAGAGCAGTAACTGATAACAAGGATGCAGGAAAACAAAATACAGACAAGAATTAAAGACACATGACTACAGCAATAAAAGAGAAACACACTACATTGCCCTACAAAGTATTCCAAAAAAACTAATCACCCACAAACAAACTAGTCAGCTTGTGTTAAACAAATTCACTCTGGGAACAGTCAAAGCAGTTCTATTCCCAGTGCCCCAAATCTTTAATAAATGCAATTCAAAGCAGATAAGCCCTGTCAAAGTAGTTTAAAAGCTTGTCAGTGTCAAGAACTCACCTGCCAGCCTTTGTCAGCAGTCCTGTAATATGGATAATGCTTGGTAATGTGGGCATAGATCCCACTTAGTGTTAATTGCCTGTCCTGTGCTGAAGATATAGCCTGCACAATTAGCTGAGCATAAGAATAGGGTGGCTTGGACTCATCCTGAGGAAGAAAAAAAAACAAACACACAAACAGAAATTTAGTCACTAACAAAGAATTCTTACACTACAGTGTACCACAACGCAAACTGAAAAAGCACAGATATTAAGAGAGCAGGAGGGGCAGCCAAGAAAGCATCACCCTCTCCCATTTCACTCCTGTTTTATACTGTCACCACCCAATTTAGCACAAGCATTTGTGTGCAAACAGAACTATAGGGCTGAGCCAGATGAAAGTATCCCCTTCCCTCTTCCCAACACACACACACTAAAAAGTTCACTTTAATCTCATTCAATTCCCCACTGAACTTCCCACATGTGCTTACATCAGCACAAGGAGCAGGGTCAGGACAAGCAACTGGAATCAAGAGTTAGAGGGTGTAGGATACATTCACTGCTTTCTTGTTCATGAAACTACAGCATTCAAATCTGCCCAGCTACAGCAACACTTCCTCAGAAAGGTTTCATGCAGTGTGCTATCAGCCCTCCTCCCAGCAACAAGTCCAACATGAAACCTGATCCCATCCCTTCCCTTCTCCAGCAGGATTTGTTTCATTCTAGGTACTTTAATTTGTTTGACAGATCTCATATTCCCAACTCTTCATATTACTCCATCAAGAAGAACCCTCCTTGTCTCAAGGGAGAATTAGCTCTACAAAAAGAGCCATCTAGGACTGTGCTCCTCCACCCAACCCCAAATCAGGTGGTTTTGAATCCAGACCTTTAACTTTGATCTGAAGATCAGCTCACCAAAATGAAATTTTATCATTCTAATATACATATAACTAAGTTATTTTTTAATCTAAATTCCACTTGCTACTCTCCTCATTTAATGCCTGCTTGACAGGCCTTCATATTTGTTTTAAAGTCTGACTACAGACTTCTCATGGCAAGGATCTGCTTTCTTCCCCTGCTTCTGCTTTCTCCAACTGTGTTTTGCAAAATACCATTAATTAAAAGGAGAAAACAAGACTTTTAATTTTATTGCACTTCTTCCTTATGGGTTTTTGATTTATCAAATAAGCAAAAAAAAAAAACAACCAACCACCCAAATGCTGGTTTGAAGGCAAGGTCTCAAAACCCTAGAGGATACTGTACACAGCACCCCTATGGCCAGGGTATTCTTAGCCCTCTTTTAACTACAACCAGGACCAGCCACAAAGCACCAGGTTTTAACAAGCCTCCCAAGGAGCACTGCTGGGTAAGTAACATCTCTGTGAACCTTTGGGCTGTCCCCGCCAGATGCATCTGCCTGCTGCTCCGATGCCGCTTTTGCCGCATACTCTGCTGCCAGCTGCAGATCCGAGGTAATGTTGTGGACAAAACGGTATCCTGAGGATCCAGCACCACGTGGACTGGCCGGGCAAGAGTTGGGAACACTGGAGAGGCAGAAAGGAAATACAGTTATTTGTTATGTCATTTATTAACAAGGCACACAGTGGTTACTCTCCAAGGTGCAGTAAAGCTCCCAGGTCATGGAGAAGCAGATGCAATGGACGTACTTCTGCCCCTGTGGCTTATTCAAAGCCCAAACAGGTTGAGAAAAAAAACACATTAGAGATAAAACTGGAATTTCTACAAAATCCTGACACTCCTCACCACACACACTTCCTGCAATCACAAGAGAGCAGTGTTTCAAAGCATTAAACAACACCTCTGTGTTCAGAGGAGCACTTAAAACAATGCAGGACTTCAAACAACACACAGCGTATCAGGGATGAATACTTAACTGAACAAATAGCTTGTTATTAGGACTTGTGAATGAACAACACACCACTCTCCTTATTACACAGGTGATATTTAATCGATCCTCCTAATAGATAATAGCTATGTTCTTCTACAGTGTCAGACTAAAGCACCCAGAGCAGGTATCTGCCACGAAGGTCCCTGTCTTAACACAGCACCTGAGCTTCAGAAGATCACGCCCTGATATCACACAGCTGGAGACAGGGATTTCCTTGATCCACCAGCACAGTCATGCAGCCGACAAAGGGGAGCTGCAATCACTGCATACACACAGAGGCAGCTCGGTTTTGGCTAGAAAAGTCACATTTGGTGCCACCACAAGATGGCATTACAGGAACAGAGACGGAGCAGGACAGGCACGAGAAAGCTGATGAAAATGCTACAAACACAGGAAAGGGGGCTGTAAATTGCAACACCACTCAGGCACACAGAAATGAGTGCTACAAGATGAGAACTAATTAGAAAGGCTTGTCTAGGGATCACGCATCCTTGATTTGTGGGGTTGGAAGGGACCTTAAAGATCATCTTGTTCCAACCCCCTATCACTGGCAGGGACACCTTCCACTGGATCAGGTTGCTCCAAGCCCTATCCAACCTGGCCTTGAAGGATGGGAGGAGATAGATGACTGGGAAACTGAAATTCCCTTTCTGTCTCTCTCCCCTGTCCTGTGCTGTCCAGAATCGAGGGGTGCAAAGCCAGAACAGCAGGACGCACAGCCACATCCCAGGATTACACGTCTTCTAGGTGCAGAGAAACAGTAAACAGGAAAGCAAACCCATACACAGAAGATTTACACAGCAAAACAAGCAGTCCAAATGTTATGAAAATACGCAAATTGAAGCCCACAGCTGGGACCCAGAATTCAGTAAAGACGGAATAAACAATCCTCTTACCAGCAAAATGCCCAATAACTGACACAAACAAATACAGTCACTGACACCCATCAGAGCTCTGGGCTAAATGCTGCACGAGAAAACACAGAACATGCTTCCTCCCTCAAAAAGGTGACTGACTTCCCACACACACACATGTACACGTGGGGCTGGAAAGAAGTAGCAAGGCAGCCCTTGTTTGCTCAGTGGGCAATACCCTGGGTGCATAAGCAATCTGTCAGTGTAAGGAATGACTGTTTCCTACCACAGTCCAGCCTGTAAACTGAGAAGTGCTGCTTCTCTTTGTGGTGTCTCTGCAAATGGCTGCAGTGCTGAGCTCAGCACAACCCAAACTGGTTTCTTTTAAAAGTGAATTACAAGATGGGGGGGGGGTGGGCAGGGGAGAGAGAACAGGCAACAGAAATATCCAGGCACAACAAGCCCTTGCAATAGGGAACCCAAGCTCACCCTTCTCCCATCAACAACAAGCCTTGCAAAGTGCTGCACAGCACCTGGTAACCCTTTCAGTGCCCATCAACAGCCCTTGGCATTGCTGGGTGATGCTGTTCAGGAGTGCAGCAGGAGGTAAAGCTTTCAGGAGGTGCAAGGTATATGAAGTTGATGAGCCCATACTTATAGATCTCCCTTTGCCAGAGATAAAGGCATTTCTTACCCAGCCTTTCAAAGAGCAGGACCTGTTTGTGCAGGAAAGTGAATCAAAGTTTGCTACTCCAAGCTAAAGCACAGAAGACACTCTTGATGTCTTCGTACTCACATGAGGAGCTGGTGTGAATTTAATTATTCCACTGTCATTTCTCAATAGCTTCTCCACATACACACTTCTTATAATGTGTAGATAATTACAAGTGAAAGCCATTTTCATACATGAAACAATGACAAACCAAAAACACAGCAATTCTTTTTATCTTCCCGTTTGGCACCCGAGCAATTATTGTAACACACAGACTGGGAATGGAATAGGATGAAACAAGAGTTTTCTGATTTGGTTCTTTGGCTGCAGAAATACACAAACATCAAACCACAGAAACAGCAGCCAAAACTCGGGACAAAGATATGGAAGAGAGAAAGTTCTCCACAAAATCCATGCTCTGCACAGAGTTTCTTGCTTTTTCCTTTTTTTTTTTTAATTTTTTTTTTAAAATTTTTAATTAATAAATAAATAAAACTAGATACAAGAATTTATTCCTTTCTTCGAGATCAGCAGAGCAAGTCCAGTTTTTGCTATTCAAACTCTGGTTTCTGGGGCTGATGAATTTTAAGTGTGATCTCTTGCTTAAAAAACAAGCAAACAAAAAAACCAAAGGGAGAAACCCATCCCCTACAGGGTTTCTCTAGAGTGCTGACAAAGCCCCTCCAACCTGAAGTGTTAACTTCTAGAAAATCCAGCCTCTCCCAGTACATAGTCCCTGAAGAACATCAAAAGCAGTTGCCCCTTAGGACAGCCACAGCAGTGCCAAAGATTTCGAAGATGTATTAATCTTTTACCAGAATGGAGTCCTTCTGCCCAGGTAGATTTGCTTCCCTTCAGCCTGGATCAATGATCAAATCGAAAGAGACACAAAACCCATCAACTTTGAGCCACTCCACGCACAGACAGGACATGCTGCTGAGTGCTCAAGCTCTCAGTCAGTCATCAGAGAGCTCTTCAGAGGGAAGGCAGAAAGAGCTGACTACTGGAAAAAACAAAGAGACACAATCTGTTGCCCTCCCAACATGGGACAGGAGGAGTGAAGAAACAGTTTTACTAAAAATACCTCTCTGAGGGTTAAGTTAAAATTAAACATTAGTGCAGTCAAAAGAAAACAAGCAAACACAATGCAGTGACATCAGTTTCCTGGAGTTCCTGGAATTCTCCTCACCACCCAGAGCCGGGGGCTGGCTGGGGATGCTTGCATGCACTCACACCCCCTTTTTAAAAATATTATGAAACAAAGAGCTTTCCCTACAACCACCTGTTTATGCTATAAAACAAAAATCAAGTGCAAGGACAGTGATTATGATTTGTTGGATATTAATACTGCATCAATACTCAGCCACAACTTGATCCACGTTGATACTATAACCTTTTACTGAGAAAAGCACAGCTAGGTCTACAGTTTCACCCTGCTCTGACATCCTAACTTACTGCTGTGATCCATGCTTGCTGTCCATGCTGGCAATCTTAGCTTACAGCAACCCAAGCTAATTCGGGTTAAACTTGTCTGTTATGGAAGGAGTGTTTTGGAGAGGGAACAAGTGTTTTATAGCACTGACAGACACACAGGGCATGCAAGTAAACCAGTTGCAGTAACCCACAGTCTTAATCCCATGGTACCATGGTTAATGCCCCAAGTGCCAGAAATCTTTGATATCCACTGAAGGGTTCAGCATCTGAACCTGAAACACTGACTGCAGGCGACCACTGAGCCACACTTCCCTAAATACCACACTGAGACTCAGCTTCAGAATGAGACTGCAACCACGTGCTGAATCACACTGGTCCTCTGCAGCATGTTTTCCATTTCAGACTTAACCCTCAGCAGGAAGGCCAGAGACACGGGGGCAGTGTCTGCTGTACATTCACCCCAGTAACCGGCAGACGGCCTCTCAAACACGGGGCTTAGACATTCTAAATCTTTGTAGCACCACGACTTTCAACTCCTGCCAACCACAACCCAGCCTGTAAGTTCACAGCAACAATTAACTAAGCACGAGCTACTGGAGAGTGCTGCATTTCTGCTGGAATGTTCAAAATCAGGTTGCTTCAAGTAAAGAATCAGCTGCAAAAATAGGATGTAGCACCGTGGGCATGGTACATTCACACCAGGACACTGTTTTGCTTGTCTACTCTCATTTAAGAAAAAAAAAAAAAAGGATAGAGCAGATCCAGAGAAGGCACTGACAGGGATAACTTGGATGATCAGAGATATGGAATGGATTTCTTATAGGAAAAAAATAGTTTAAGACAGAAGCTGAGGTGCAAGGTGACAGAGCCTACAAAAACAAAGCCAAGGGGAGGTGTTCAGCTTCTGGCCTCTTGCAACAGAAGAGCGGGTGAGCACAAAATGAAACTAAGCAGCCCTTCCAAAACAAAAGAAAGTGCTTCTGTGTCTGCAGCTGCATGTGGAATGACATGCTGTAAGGCAGGGCTGATGATAAAAGTCTACGTGAATAGAAAAAGCCAGGATACAAATTCTTGGGGAAAGGAGGAAGACAAGGAAGCCATCGGGGGCTTTCTAAGACAGATGGTCAGGAAGTCCCTGCTCCAAGACAGTCTCTGCTCCAAGAAAATGTAGGCAAACTGCACCTAAGTCAACATTACTCTGTTTTCTGTGCTCTTATATGACCCCCAAGATACCCATGTCAGAGGCAGAACACTGGGCTACAGGGATCTGTTCCCTTAGTACACTGAGATTCCCATGTAAAAATCTCCACACTCTCTCAATACTATGCACATTTTACAGACTGGGGGTAATAAAAATAAAAATGAAGCAACAAGTGCTTAAATGATTTATTTATGGTCATATTACAAGTCTGTGAACAATCTGGAAACTGAAACACTCCCAAACCTCAGTGCCAATTTCCCCAGAAGGAGAGGCAGTACTAGAATGCAAGAGAGTTGCCTTATTACTCAATTTCATTCTTTTCTACAATAAAGGTATCTGTAGGGATCAAGCTACAAAGGCTTCATTTAAGCCAGGTGTATGGAAAAAAAGCACCTATGGCAAAGAGGAAAGATTACCTGGGATCCCATATAAAA